ATTGAACAAGAAATTGTAAAAAAAAAAGACTAATTTTCTCATAACAAGATAATATTTGGAATTGAAACACGTTTTTACAGTTTATTGAAATAAATGTTGCACCATAAATATAACCATTATTTAAATACCCATTTACCATGTTCTAATCTACAAACAAATCTTAATATAAACCAATTTATCTCTGTGGTGTACCTACCATAATGTGTTTATTGTGTTTGATTTTTTAGTGTAGACTAAGTGAATCTAGAGTGATTACACAAATGAATACGTAATATACAACATATAAAGTCAATATACAACATATAAATGGAAATTGAAATTGAGCAAATTTTTTAGTCCACGCGAGTAGGCAAAAAGTTACAGCAAAATAAGAATGGCACTTTATTACCATATTTATTTATCACATACATATACATGTACCTAACTTAAAAAAGAATCACTGTAAGTGTAGGGGACGCGACCTACCACTAAATGATTGATAAATTAATTACAGTTTGAGATCGTGTAACAGTTTATTGATTTAATTATATGCTATATTGATATATTATGCTATGATTGATGCTAATTAATGATGCTAATAAATGATAATGAATGCAGCCGGTTTGATTGCTGTCCGAACACGCACTGCCTTTTTAGGTGTGTTTCAATGTATTTATAACACACCTACTAAGCATTATTGCTTAGATGTTCGGTACAAAACTTTGGAGCGAACAGTAAGCTTCAGGTGTACAATATAGAGCAAGAGCCTACGACGGCCAGACCTTCGTTATTTTATAAAAGCTGAAAATTTTTCTGTGCATGCCCTCCTTCCTATACGGTAAGAACGACCAGCGACTATAGAGTTGGGGTTGTGGTTACTTGGGCAGGTATCAGGTAGTAAAGGTGAATAAAATAGTACCTTAAATTCGTTAAAGTATAAAGCTCAATTTTTTTTATATTTTCTTCGGGATAACTTTAGAAATCTCGTCGTCCATTGCCGGACACTTATGACAGTTGCTACTCCCTGCCAGATACCCCTAAACTTTAATAAATTATAATTATACTTTCGTTATAGTATAAAAGCTAAATTTTATATATTATGTTACTTGGGGACCTATAAAAAAATGTTACCTCAATAGCCGGCAACCCCGGATCTTAAATTTTTTCGAGGCGGGGCAAAAACTGAGAAATGCCGCCTCAACCCACCTATATTTTTACCTTTATCATCATCGTCATTTCATCCATCAGACGTCCACTAATGGACATACGCCTTCCGAAAAGAACCTATCTAGCGTTGCTCTTTCTGTATTAAGCCTATTTATCTATACTGATATAATAAAGAGGCAGAGTTTGTTTGTTAGTTAGTTTGAACGCGCTAATCTCAGGAACTACTAATCCGATTTGAAAAATTCTTTTTGCCGTTCATTGAGGAAGTCTAATAGGCTATACATAAGCATGCTGTTACCCAAGGGAGCGGAGCAGTAATCATAAATGTCAACAAACATATATTATTGTAAAGGGAAGGGAAAGAAGAATATGTTTTTTTGTATTTTGAACGTGGGCGAAGCCGCGGGTTTTGGTAGTTTACAAAAGTACGTACGTACATCGACGTGTAGGACATATTTATTATTTAGGATAGCACAGGATAGGGTCTGAAATAAAACGTAAGATTAAAAATAAAAATAAATTTAGTATATTATTGTATTGCAAATTGAAATTATAATTTAACTCTTCGAGCCTTTTGTTCTGCAAACAAATCTATGGCACACACAATTTATTAAATTTAGTAATATTTAACCAGCGGAAGGTTTCTAGGGAGGACTCGATAAAACCAGTTATTTTATTTTCCCGTGGGAAACAAAGATTTTCTTGAAGTAAAAGGTATCCTAAATGATGAGTCGAGTAATAAGTTATCACTTCACCAAATTTCGTTGAAATCGGTTCATTACTATTCGCGAGAAACCCGCACACAAAAACAGACTAACAGACATACAGGCAATTAGACAAACAGACAAATTTTTTTCTGTTTTACGGTCTAATCTCCGAATCTTTTGGACCGATTTAAATGAAATTTTGCATGGTGGTACCTTATTTTCCCTGTCAACACCTTAGATACTTTTCATCTCGGAAAATTAAAGAGTTCCCGTGGGAGAGTTAAAAAAATATAGTAACTTATACAGCTATAACTATAGATACGGCCTCTATATCGATAATAACGATAATTTCAATAAGATTTTCCAAAAAATATTTAATGTACAGATTCGGCTTAGTTACAATTTTATTATGTGTATAGACTAGCGGCTCACCCTCGATTCGCTCGGGTTCGCCTCTAGAAAACTCTTATAGAGAGAAACCACTTATAGAGAACTATTTGTTCCCACGCACCGTACCGTACATTTTTCCGGGATAAAAAGTAACTTATTTGTTATTCTGATGTATGGCCTATATTATTGTAAAGTTTCATCAAAATCCAATCTGTAGTTTTTGTGTACTAAGCTGTATAAGTTACTATAGTTTTTTGAATGTCCTACGGGAACTTTTTAATTTTCCGGGATGCAAAGTAGCTGATTTGTTATTGTCATGTATGAACTATATTATAGTAAAGTTTTATTAAAATCGAATCAGTACTTTTTGTGTACTAAGCCGTATAAGTTATTATAGTTTTTTTAACTATCCCACGGGAACTAATTAATTTTCCGGGATAAAAAGGATCTAAGATGTTGCCCGGGGATATAAGGTACAATCATGCAAAATTTCATTTAATTCGGTGCAATAGATTCAGAGATTAGCCCGTACAAACAGACAGCAGAGAAACAAAAAAATGGAATTTGTTCTATTTGTCTTCTTACATCCCCCTGACTCGGTTTTTAGCATTGTTTTCGCTATGTACACAGACATTCGACCTCTACAGTTTTATTATAGTATAGATGAGTTCTTTTTGGCTCCGCGAAGAATTATTATTATTATTGTACTTAAAGTATTGGACATCTCGGTGGTCAAAGTTGCGTTAATGTTGAGTTGTGTATACGTTTGTCAAGTAAGTATTTTGCCGCCTCCTGAAGTTGCCGCCCGGGGCGGGGGCCCCGGCTTGCTTCCCCCCCTCTAGATCCGAGCCTGATAGCCGGACAGTTTTAATGGTTTTTACATCTTGCCAGACACATTGAAAGTTCGCTGTAGGTGCGAGCGCGAGGGCTTAGTCGATTGCGATCTTTTAAGATATCCAATAAAAATAATTTTATTACGTTCATAGCCATGTTATATAAAGTAATTTTTTTTATTAAATACAAAAAAAGAATTATTACCTATATTACTTACATGTAAAAAAAATATTTATTCGTCTTTATACATTTCATCATTGTGATCGATATTTTCATTTCCTTCGTCACTACTCCACTCGATGGCATGATCGTCGTTAATATCGTCTTCGCCAGTTTCTGAAATGATACACTAGCACTGTTGTTGTTAACGACCAAGTCTAAAATTTCCTGGTTACTGACAAGACCGGTAAAGGTACGTACGTCCGCTTATATGTCGGGTCCAGTGGCTAATTCGTTCATGGTGCTAAGTTAGAAAAATATTTAGTTTTCCATGCTTATTATTCTCTGATTTCATTTAAGTTTAAAGTGAGTTTTAATATGTTAAAGATTATTATATAATGAAGTACGCGCAGAAATATTAAATATAGTACGCGCAGCTATTAGTATAAGTATAGTATAACTATATTTAAGTATATAGAAAATTACAGTTACCCAAAGGTTAAAATAGTTTTTCATTTTCAATTGGCGTGGCGTAACTTATACGTGATCAGTGATGTCGGTTATTTCGTTTAAAGAGATATTACTGAGCCATCGCGTGTTTCATTTTGTTCTGTTTTATTTTTTACCCAAGCAGTAAGTTAAGAGCTACACAGCCAGAAGTCCCAAAAAAAACTCAAATTTACTTAAAGTTATTTATTTAAAACTTATATCTCTCTTAAAATTACAATTGGAATTAATTTGTCTAATGCTACGCGATGTAACAATTAGAATAGAATATAAAAATAATTTAAATATTAAAGCGAACTTCTATCCAACACAAGTGTAGAGTTATGACGCAAATGCCTGTGAATGCTGACTCCGCTCCTCGTGTCCCAGCGTACTGCGTGAGGTCAGCGCTCCACCTTATAGCTATGCGCTATAACAAGTATAATAACAATATGTACTTACTTATAAAGTGGGTTTTTAAAAGAAATTGTAGTGCTTAGGTAGTAAGGCTATGGCTGTTGACTTTTTTTTTAAAGATATTTTGAAGATATGAACTAAAAAGATTCATAGGGCTCAGACGTAAAAAATTGAATATATGAGAAGAAACATAATAAAATATATGAGAATGATATACATATATGTATTACGATTCCATGACGATTTGTCATTTCAATACAATTTTTATTTTTATTATTAATGAGAACTTCTTTACAGATAAATAAAATTGAAAAGTCTGTTTGTAATGTCAAAATCACAAGTTTTTTCGGGATAAAAATATCCTATGTCCTTCCCAGGGTCTCAAACTATCTTCTTACCAAATTTCATCTAAATCGGTTCAGCAGATCCAGAGATTACCCCCTACAAACTCACAAATTTTACCTCTTTATAGTATTAGTGTAGAAAAAGAATTAGGGATCCGTTCAAAAAATATAAATGTACCTATATGTATATAATATAAATGTTAAATACTTATATCTCTGTTACAATTTCTTCGAGTCTAATGAGCTTGCCATTCTTTCATTGTTTTTAAATAGAACTTTACGAATCATTACTTATAAGTTATAACTATAAGGTACTAAGTGGTACAGTCATACATTAAAAGGGTAGGTATAAAAATTTCAGCTTATGAGTGTATATACATACTAAAATACACACGGAAGAGAAAGAACAAGTGTTTTGTCTTAAGTGAAAATACTCGTACCTATGGAATAATTAATATATTTGGGCGTTAATTTAGACGTATCCAATATCTATTATTATGAAAAATTAAACCGATTAATCTTCAGGTGGCTGGTAGTCTGGTACAACTTGCAACACTTTTTCTCTCCATTTCAATTTTCTTGCTTCTTGCTCTCTCTTCAGAGCGTTTAACGCAGGTAATGTGCGCCAACAGGTAAATGTTTTAAACATTATATTGCTGTAAATAGAAAAAATAAGAAATACTTCTATCACATCGTTTGTAAGCAAGACTTTATGAAAATGACTTCTGCTTCTAAAATTATATTTATTAAAATGATGCATGTTTTTTTATATTACATTTTTTTAGAATTAAATCCTTATAATTGAAACTATCGTCTGACGTAGTAATAGATAGATGGATTTCTCCAAAAGTCTAATGATGCCCTTTTTAAACAAAATTTGCCTTATAATTCCGATTCGATCATTTTTCGCTATTGTTTCTAGTTTCAAATATCATGATTTATGTGTTCGTGTAAAAGATTTACTTTATCAAAAACCTTAAGAAATAAGAAAAAAGGGGAGAAAGATGCACCAAGGAAACTGATAAACAAATTACAGCACTTAATAAGTCAAAATTTCCTTCCGCACTCGTCAATGAAAAATAAAAGTCTAATATTGAGCACTCACTTCCATTTTTCAGTCGTAACCCGATTACCGGTCGTTCCTACTACCTACCTGCCTGCTTATATAAAGAAGATTTTCGGGACTTATACTATATATATATATATATATATATATATATATATATATATATATATATATATATATATATATATATATATTGTATTCCTAATGTTTAATACAGAAAGATTTTTGATGTGTTTATTTTACGTACCTATTATAGTATAACGATGCCTTTTTCCATTTAAATTCAATTTCCTTTTTAAGAATCATTATACCTTCACGAAATTTTCTAAATACAAGTTGCGATACAAATAGATCGTAATAGTCATCTGCCACTTGCTTTTTTAGTACAAACTCGTGATGATTCTGAAATAAGAAGAATAAATTATACTTAGTCGGTACAACATTGTGTCGTATTTCGACTTTACTTTCAGTGGTGTAGTTCTGATGAGATGCCTTTATATCAGTAACATAAAAGGACAGTATATTTGTACATGAAAGTTCGTTTATTTTCAAATAGAAATACCTACTTATTAATAAAAGTATTCGTTTTTAAAGACATAGGCTACAATGGATTGCTACTTGAGTACTTTTTATGTACCAACTTAATAAAATTCTTACCATTTTTAATCCGTTGAATGCTTTTTTCAATATTTTCTTCCTGTAAAAATCTTCGGCTTTATAGTTTCTATCGAACCACATGTCTTCAGTGTACCACATCCAATGTAAGAATAAGTTTTTCATTAATTGAAATTTGTAATGAACTTTGGCTTTATCAATGTTATCCTTCTTAATTTCTAACAATAACTTTAATGGTTTAAGACCATATTTATACATCAAATTCCTTTCATAATGCAAATCAGACATTACTATCAAGGCCCTCATTCTCTCTGCGTGTTGTTTCTTCCTGATATTTTCAATTTTTTCTTTTTTCCTTTTCTCTCTTAAGTCTTTTATTTTTCTCATTTTTTCTTCTTTATCCATTTCTGCCTTCGCTAATTCTGCCTAGTTTTAAATTAAGAAAAATATTTTATTATCAAGAGTTTATAATTACTTACATCAAAATACATTAAAATACAAGTAACAAGCTACGAATACGAGATAAGGTAATTAGTACCTGTTGCTTTAAACGGAGTCGTTCTTCCTCCATTTGTTTTCGCCTTTCTCTTATGATTGCGTGCTTTTCTTCTCTTTCGCGAGCTCTGGATTCCATTCTTTGCAGAAATTGTGGTACTTTTAAGCAGTGCAGAACAAGAGAAGGTTCTGTAAAATTTTACAAATTAATAAATAATATAGAAAAATATTCAATAAATATAATGTAGTAAAGTAATTATTTAACCTTCAAACTCCTTAATTTTTAACTCATTCGTCAAACATTTAATTTTAGGCTTCAAATGTTTGTCGATTTCATAATAAGTTTTTCTTACATCTTCCCTCATAGTATCTAAAGACTGACGCGAAGCTTCTACAATTTTATTGTACTTCAATTTTTCTATTAATTTGTTTTGTTCTTCGAGTTTAGTTTTCTGAAGCGCTATTATATGTTTTTGAATCTTATACCTGAAAAATATAACTAAAGATAGACACTTGGTGTATGATATTGTGCAATATAATAATTGTTATTAATAAACTCTTTTGTACCTACCTATGCTGATATGTATTATAATCTCGGGCGAGTATTTTAGCTTTTTGAACAGGTTCCGTGTTGGAGACTGCATTATTCATTTTTTTGGAAAGTTTATCAAAAAACTGATTCAAAGTTTGTTGTCTTTGTTCAAAAATTCGATTTTGCGTCTTAGAAGAGACGAAATTCTTCCATTTTTTTACGAACTTTTTTGCTATATATCTTTGATGATAGCTTAATTCATATTTTAAAGGGGCTATATTTAATAATTGTACTAATTGGTCAGTTTGAAAACTTTCTGATATTGTTTTTGCGTCCACAGCATCATTACAGCAATTCGTTAACGTATTTTCATTACGTTCTATTTCGTGTCCATTTTTATGTATTTTTTTAGTTGTTCTAACTACTTTAACTTTCCCTTCGTCCCTTCCTTCATCATTAGAATTTATTGTTAACATTATTAACAATGATTGTAAGTCATTTTTATATTCGTTAAATTGAGGCAAGGAGTTATTGTATGATAAACTATCTTCTTTAATATTCATGCAATTTATATGTGACGTTTTAAAAGCTTTATTTGGATTTAAATATTTGTTAGAACATTTAACGTCTTTATTTAGTGCCATTATATTGTAGTTATCATCACTATAGTAGCTATTTTTATTTGGTTGGTTAATGACTCTTGTTTTTGGTTTAACTTTAAAATCACTGTCGTTTTCGATTACTAAGTTGATTTTATCTTCCTCTAAATTATTTATATACATAGCCATTTCTTTTTCTATTAAATCATTTTCTTCGAGTTTTCGCGTAAAACGTTGTTCTTTATATAATGAAGATCTAGTTTTGTTGGTAACATCAGCGTGTTTTAATGTATTTTGATTTTGTAAATTCATATTATGAAAATACGTACGAAGCTTAATAATTTCTTTTTTTAAATTATAATTATTTTTTGTTTTTTTAATATTATTCCTAAAAATATTTCGTGAACATATTAAAAAAAGAATTGACAATATATATTGTATTGTATGGTAAAAACAAACATGTAGCAACAAATGAAATAGAAGTTATTTTCAAAAGGATAAAATTGTACTGTAATTGTAGAAACCACGAAAGAAACCTTTGTGTCCTTAGACCAATAAAAAAGTATTTTTTTATTGGTCTGAGTTTGTGTCAAGTCATCTCTTTGACGAAAATATTGTTACTACTACTTAAGTACTAATGGTAGGATAGTATACAATTATTATTATATATTGATAAAATACAATTTCTTAAGTCAAAATGTCCCAATGTTGACATCCCAAAGGAAGTTTCCATACAAAGACTTTGGGACGCGCCATTGGTTCATTCCACATTCCAAAAATTTTCTCAAAATCTTTCGAGTGACGTAAACCGTGCCAGACTTTTAGCGTCATCCGCCAAAGAATCGGTACACTGGTTGCACGTCCTGCCTTCAACTAATCTCGGTACACTTTTGAATAATGATAGTTTTCGTATCGCTTTAAGTCTCCGGCTGGGTACACCGCTGTGCACTGAGCACAGATTCTCGTGTGGAAAATAGGTTGATTGTTATGAGCTCCATGGACATTCTTGCAGAAGAGTTCAGGTAGACTTTTCCATCATGGTTCCCTAAACTCTTGCCACCATTGACATTCCTGCTCTTATTGAGCCATCTGGAATAAGACGAGATGATGGCAAGAGACCTGATGGCCCGTCGCTGGTTCCTTGGGAAAGGGGACGGGCCTTATTGTAGGACGCTACATGCGTTGAGGCATTAGCCCCGTCCCATGTCAGGGAGACGGCGTCTAAAGCTGGAGCCGCGGCGGAGATGGCTGAACTACTTAAGTTACGTAAATACGCCTCCCTTAGTCAAAATTATATTTTTATTCCATTTGCTGTAGAAACTCTTGGTCCATGGAGTCAAAGTGCTAAGCACTTCTTAAAAGACATAACACCTCGTCTTATCACCTCTACTGGTGACAGGAGAGCTGGTACATTTTTCGCCCAAAGAATCGGCATTGCCATTCAACGGGGGAATGCGGCTAAAATTCTTGCCACTATTCCATGCGGTCCGCGGACATGACTTTAACAGTAATAACTATATGTACATTTGTTTTGTGATAAAATTAAGTATATTTGTAGTTTTCTTTATTGTAAATAAAATGAATTTCCTAAGTTAATAAACAAATATTACGCACTTTGAATAACCGCTATGTTTTGAAACTCCATTGTTATGAGTGCGCCGTGCCTAGAAAAAAGGTGATTTATTCGTAAACAGACTTCACATAAGGATGACTTTTTTTTCAGTATTCTTATTTTTATTTACTTATTTCATCTATTATATTATTTATAAACATTAATGAAATAAATAGGTTTTATTATTTATTTACAATTTTATATTATTAGCAGGTACGTTACCTCTTCACGCTTCAACTGCATGCGTAAAATTACAGCTTGTGCACTATATTCAAGAGAATGCTTTATCACATCTTTTTCTAAAAACATATTTTTAATACTAATTTTATCCACTATATATTAATAAAAACATAATTCTACGAGCTTAACGACGTATCAATAGATCTTATAATGGTAACGTTATAAACAAATTAATATTAATGTTGCGTAGAAACCAAAAATCAATGTTATTATTTATTAATAAGTAATAGCAACTGAGATATTTATTATTAACTAAAGCATAAGGAATATATTTGTTAATTTTATTTTGATGCAATAAATACCTACCTACCTAATAAGACAAACTTTATATCTTTCTGTTCCTTAGGAATATTGAAAGCTCTAATGATTTATTATTGTTTAAAAAAATATTGTAAGTGAAGGGAACAGAAATAATAGGTACACCCGTAAAGCAATTTTACGTAATTTTACTGATTATTGAAACATCTGCAACTGATGATGGGTTTGTAGTGTATAGAATGTAGTGTAGTTTGTAGTGTGTAGAAAAGTGTGTGTCATAGAATTTTACCATATTTGAGTAGTTATTTGTTAGTTTGCACTTATTTATTAAATACTAGCATTGCCCGCGGCTCCGGCCCCGTTCAGACGTTATTTTTTTTTCAAGATAAGCTATTTTTAATAGTTTTTGCCATATTTAGTAAGTTAGGTACCTTGCTAAAATATATACTTATTATTATCATCGTGGTTTTATTCTAACCAGTTTTTGTATTTTTCTCAGATATGAGATATTTTCATCAAAAAATATCCTTTATATTGACCCGGATAACCAGCTATGACATACCAAATTTTATCAAAATCCCTCAAGTGGTTTTTTTGTTATGCGGTAACAGACAGACAGACAGAAAGACAACTATAGACTCGGCTTCTGTATCGATAATAATGTCTATTTCAATAAGATTTTCCAAAAAATATTTAATGTACAGATTCGACTTAGTTACAATTTTATTATAAGTATGGAACATGGAACAGTATCAATGACATCTCTTATCTATTAAGCAAACAAGGTCGAAGAATAGTCCGAATGGGGAAGAATTTTGCTATTTTATCTCACCAGATGTCGCGATCGCTAAAGCTATACTGAGGTATATTGTGAATTTCTAGCGTAGATGGTTTTTTTCATTTTATTTAAAATTTAATAAAATAACAAACTTTGCAGTGCCAGGATGCAACGAAAATGGATATCATTTGTTCCCAACAGACAAAAACTGCAGAAATTGTGGGCTAAAGTATTAAGACGACAAAAATTGGCAAAATCACAATTTTTATATTTAAGGCTATGTGGACATCATTTGCAGAATGTGGTATTAAAACTGTTAAATCGTCTGCAGGTGTTTTCTTTTGTACTTTTTTACATATTAATTACAGAGTTTCATACAAACTTTCATCTCCCAATTAACCCATGGCATATATATATATATATATATATATATATGGCATTGAATTTTAAAAAATACTAAAACATATATATATTTAATTATATTAAAAAGTATTATAACATTAATTCTGATCATAAATAATTCAAGGCCCACAAACTTTATTCACCCCTTTTGCTCCTATAAGACATGAATTTAGAAAAAAAAACCCAGAAAATATATTTCTTATTTTTATCTGAAAGCTAAACACCACTTTTTGTGTATTTCACATTAAGCATGACAGAGTTTCATACAATCTTTAATCCCCTAGTTTACCCACTTATGGGATGAATTTTGAAAAATTTCTTTTTATTGGATGCCTATATCATATAAGGAATACGTCCTTCCACGTTTCTACGACCAACGGTTTTTGCTGTGTGTTGATCCATTAGTCAGTCAGGACCACCACAGAATGCACTTTTCCTTCTCAATTCTTCCTTCATCTGGTCTAACTTCCAGGTACAATACATTGCACATAGAATTCACAATAAATTGCTAAAACTACCTATTTGAATAATAGATATTGTAAATATTATATACCTATAAATTAATTTTTAAGGCTTTCTATCAATTTTCAATACCTACATAACATTGTAATGTAACAGAATATACTAAAATATTGATGAAAATAATATATATTAAGGTTTCATCACGCATTCTGATATTTCCTTTTGAAATAAATATATTTATTGTCGCTATAACGTTTGTAGCCTGCTTTAGAAATTGATTATTGATTTGATATTGACAAATGACATATCTCAGTAGTCAGTCAAATGTCAATGTCAAAATTGATAATTATGATTAATAGTAAAAACTAAAAAGTGTAGTTACTCAATAGAAACATTATTTAAATTACTTATGAGCCAATTAGATTTTTAAGTTACCATAGTTTAAGTAAATGTATCTACCTCTACATAATGCGTCCGAAAAAAAATATTTCATCAAAATCCCCATCAAGAAGTTGGGATTATTCACAGTTTCATTGCCGTTGTTTGCATTCATAGCATGTGTTTTAATAACGCTATATAAAGATTTCGAAAAGGCAAATAATACGCATTGTAAAGTTTCCAATATTTTCCCATCGATTTCTGCATCTATAGGCAACTATGAACCTCAACGCACAATATGGAAAGTTGCTATTTACAGTCATGCTCCATTAAGGTTTTTTATTATTTATTTGAGATGGGAGTATTATAGAAGTATAATTAGTCAAAATTGTATTATTGTAGTAAAGTTAGCTGTATTTTTAAATATAATTGAGAACTTATCTTTAATAGGATTGACTCACTGGACTTCTTCCAATTATTACCGTAAGCCGTTTGTATTGTTTTAATCAAATAGAATTTCTTAAAATTTCAAATAAAACATGTCATCATGACTCCAAAAAAAAAGTTGCTTCTCTTTTACTAAGGTATATAATATATGGACACAATTGGATTTAAATTATTACCTTTTGTAAAATATTACATCTACATTAATATAATATACTTTTTACTTAAAATCTCTTAAAATATTTTCAGCATATCATGAAGCATGCTTTAAAACATTTATTGGTACTTCAATATTTTACATGCTTTTTACTTGCATGATGCTAACCAAATATAGGCGGCGACCAACATTGACACATTTAGAAATACTATCAATGAAGTTAAAATGGAGAGCTTTTTTTGTAAATGTGGGTTCATTTGCATTTGCTGCTTACTTTTTCTTGAGACATAACCGGCTTTGTGAACCATATGGTGAGTTTAGCAGATTACATTAACAAAATATTAAATACAGTAAGGCTGTTGAATGAAGAGAATGTTTATTGTGAAAAATATTTAATAAGTAATGAATATTTTTTTATAATAGAAGTAAACTTTTACAAAATTAAAATTTTAAAGAATATACTTCAAAAAATTGATTTTTTTTATAATATATACTGTATATAAATTATATTATGCTATCTTTAAATAACAATGCTTCATAGTTTTCTAATTATACATGCTTTTTTTAACAACCTAATTCTTTGATTTTAGTTCTTGTGTTTGGTAATTAGTGTATTTCTTTTTCAGTTTATTCCATGTTTGGGTTCTCAGAATATGTTGTGGTAATTAGCAATATTCTATTCCATATGACTACAGTGTATGATCTCCGCAAGCAATTCCTATATATAACAAGAAAAGGTTTTATAGTTGATTGACTTAGGATTGTAAATAATGTTTTTTTATTACAAGAAGAGATAAAAGAAAATGAAAGACTTTCAAGTATAACATGATTTTTAATTTAACTTGCAATAATGTTAATATTAACAACAATCACTATAACATTTACATATAAAAAAGCAAAGTAGCAAAGCTTTAACATTATAATAATCTATGTAGTATATAATAATCTGTGTAGTTTATCTATGTATGTAGGTAGTATAGTTTTATATATATGTAAAGTGTCTAGTCAAATCAATTATTATTCATACTTAAATGACCCTTTATGATATTAACAAAAAATATAATGTTTATATATTTATACTATCCTTAAGTGCCCATTAATTATAAATATTTAAATTCTCATTTAATTATTAAATAGTATATACACTTTGGTTTTCTACAAAATATTTGTGTTATATTATGTGTATTTATATGTGTAATGTGTATTTATTATTATTACTTGTTTTCTTATCAATTAAAGTGCTTGCAAATCAGGTCTAAGTATGACAATATTAATTCAACATATTTTTGTAATGCATTCTTATCACATTTCTTCACACGTAATTACATAAAACAAGAATAGCATGTTAATAGTTACTATATCTTAAAGAATATTACAATTTATCACAGTATTAAAACTGAAAAAATATATTATTATAAAGGGAATAAAAATATAAAAATTTGAGTAATATAGCATAGGAGATTTTAAATAGAGATGTTAGTTATGATGTACAATTTCTCATAACACTAAAAAAATTAGAGTTGCTTAAAGCAATCATCTACATTCCATAGTCATCTTCATAATTGACATCAAACGGCTTGTTATTGTCTTGTGGTCAAAATTAAAAAAAACCCACATAATTAAAATTAATTATAGATGAAACTCGTCTTTTATCTTATCAGCTATCATTTTAGCAATAGCTAATGATGATGTAGCTCCAGGTGATGGTGCATTCCTACAATGCAGCACTCTGCTGCCAATAGCTCCAGAGCCGGGCTTTGAGTCAAATACAAAGTCTTCTATCAATGTACCTAAAAAATATATAACATGATATAAGATGGAACATTATTTATATGCTTTATACACTCTAATAAAAAATATACAATGGCCAGATTCGTTATTACATGCACTATTCAATATATAACAATATACTAGAAAATACAGCTTATTGAAGTAAAGGAAACAATAAAAAAGTTACCATGACTAGATGATTATACATATAATTTCATACACACATATAATAGAATATACAATATATACAGAAATAAAAAAATATAGATATTTTTTTAGGGATAAATGTTTAGTTATAATATTTTAAAATGTGTTTAGGTAATAATGTAGGGAAACCCATATTATAATTGAACAATAATTTTCCTCACTTTATAATTTCTTGAATAATATATAAACTTACCATCTTTTCCCATGGCCTGGGCTCTTACTCCAGCTGGGCCCCTTTCTACATCACTTGAGGTTATATCCTGAATATACTTTTGAATTTGCATCACTTGTAATGGCACCAGAAGTGATCTAGTCATCTCTTTTAATCCAAAACCTGCATATTTTAATGCCATCTTACGAAATCCAGAAAATGTTACTATATCTTTTAGTTCTTTTATATTTACATCACCCCACCTGCAAATGATAATCACATGAAGATAATGAGATCAGAAATATAAATATTACGAAGTTAAAGTACTGAAAATATTTTTCCTACCTGTATCCTTCCTTACAAAATGCTAAAATAGCATTTGGACCTACAATAACTCTCCCGTCTATTCTTGGTGTCAGATGTACACCCAAGAATGGAAATCTTGGATCTGGGACAGGATATATATTTGTCTTAGTTAGATAGCTCTTTTGTGGAACTAAATATAAATATTCACCTCTGAATGGTATAATTTTTGGTTCTTCTGGACAACCAGTAAGAATTGCAACAGTATCTGATTGTAAGCCACAACATGTCAGCACATACTTAGCTTGTATTGTGTTTTCTTTAGAGTCGGTTATTGTTACAGGATAATCAGAATCTTCAGATTCTATAAACCTATTTACTTCAAAATTTAAGTATGTTTTTCCACCACATTTTTCAAAATCATGTACATAAGAATTTGTTACTTCTCCCCAGTCAACAATACCTGTATGTGGAGACCATAAAGCTTGCAGACCATTACAATGTGGTTCAAGTTCTTTAAGCTCTTTTGAGTCTAACAACCTGATGTCTTTAACTCCATTTTTAAGTCCACGTTCATATAAATCTAAAAGTCTTGGAACTTCCAGTCTACTTGTTGCTACTATTAGTTTACCACATTTGGAATATTTAATCCCTTTCTCATCTAAATATTTATAAGCTAGATTTAAACCTTCTACACATAATTTAGCTTTTAATGAACCTGGCTTGTAATAAATTCCAGCATGAATCACACCACTGTTATTACCACTTTGATGAAATGCAAAAGTTTTTTCTTTTTCTACTAAAGCTATTTGTAAAGTAGGATGTCGTAATAATAATTCTCTTGCAGATGCGGAACCTACTATTCCACCACCAATGACTACAATATCGTATTTACGTCGAGTTTCATCACTAAACCTGAAAAAAGAATAAATTGAAGAATATATCTTTTATTTTAGGGAATTACTGAAAAGGTACCTAATACATAGGTAATTGACCTTCCATCTATATATTATAGCATTGTTTACATACCTTCGATTAATAATTGTATTTTCCAGGCGGTGATATCTACTAAGGGCAGGAAAATAACGTATTTTACTTACGATAGACATTATTATAATGAATTAATAATTAAATAAAATATTATATTAAAATGTAGAATAATAATTAAAAAATAATACGAAGTTACAACTATAACCGCACTCTTAAATTAAATTTTAAATACAAGTCACCAATACATTCTAATAAAAAGTGTAATTTTTTATTACATATAACATAGAATGTAATGTTTGCACATATATATTCACAAGATAACAAAAGTTCAAAACGTAAGTACCTACTACCTAATATGTAAATACTTTTCTCTATATATGTAGCAATATACTCTATGTACTTTTCTGTGATAACTGATAATTGATATGTCTAATTGACAAATTCAGCAGTTCAGTGCTGCCAACTCCAAAAAGTCGCCAGAAAATCGCTATTTTGGAGAAAATTTACCTTTTTCTCCCGCTAGATGTCGCGATCACTATGACACTTTTACACTCCGACACTGAGTATCACCGACACTCAGGCACTTCGGCTTACAGACACTCGACACTAGACATTCTGACACTCCGACGGTCAGAATTTCCGACACTCCGACGATGACAATCAGACACTCCTATACTCCGACACACCAATCCTCCCGCACTCGGACACTGAAACTCCGACACGCCCTTTTCCCACTCAAGATGACAACATCGGAGAACTCAAAGAAGTATTTTATATCAGAATGACAATATAAAGAATCAAATAATTAATTTACAATAATACATATTATAAATCCTATTTTTGTAATATAATAAATTTAATAGGTATACAACAGTCTATTAAAATATATTTATTTCACTTGAGGTTTGACAAGAAAACTTATGGTTATTGGAAATTACACAAAAAATTACATAAAATCTTACAACTGCGTGAAAATGAGAGTCGTGGAGGATCGTTATGATACAGATGTTTACGCGTTCGGCGCTCGCGGCTCTCTGCCTGGTCGAGCCACGCCGTCGCTCACGCGTTCGCGGGAGACGGGGGGGGCGCGGGCGCCTAAACTATACGATCGCACGAAACACGGCCCTACAGGATCGTACATGTTCCGACACGATACCCCGCGATCACCGTTGTTTGTAAAAACCCCGCGTTACACTCTCCCCCTCTAGCCTAACTAAGTGTCCTCACAGTTGGGCTAGTCTAGGTATCTACGCGGCCTACCACGTTTACGTTTTTCCCTAACGGGAGGCTCTATCTGGCCGGTAAATGGCGTGAGGTGCGAAACGTGATATTTCCCTATATCTCTTCCGGTCTGTACGTTCTCTAACCCGTACGTAGTAGAACTAACTACCTTGCCTATCTTGTATGGGCCGTCCCGGCGTGGGATAAACTTCGCTGTCTGTCCACGTCCGGCATCGTTCGGCCCCTGCGTTTTAAGTAGCACCATATCGCCTACCTTATACTCTGGCGGCGATCGCCGTCTCTGGTCAGCAGCCCCCTTTACATAGTTAGTACTGAACGTGCGCATACCTGTCCAATAATATCTAGTGCGAACACGGCCTAAAGTGCGCTCCACGCCGAATTGTCCTGCCATAGGCGCGTCGTGGAGTTCAGCCATCACTTGCCTGCGTTCGTGTTCGGGCACAACAATACAGCATTCTTCTCCATCGTCTGACTCTAAGCTATATCTATGAAGTATACCATCGGAAATAGTGTACCCACGATCGGACCATGGCCTCCCCCTAGAAGGTTCGTCAGACTCCATGTCCTCAATGATTTTGCGAATCTCTGGATCTAACAGTTGATTGCTACGGATATCACCACTACTCCTCTTTGGTAAGTCAACGACTGTCATACATAATTCGCACTCACCTTGGTTCTCAGCACAAACTGGTCGCGAAAGCGTATCTGCAACCACGTTCGAGCGTCCCGGTGTGTATTGGATGTTGAGGTCGAACTCTTGCAATGTTAGGGCCCACCTAGCCAGCCGACCACTAGGTGACTTCAGACTCATTAGCCATCGCAAAGGCTGGTGGTCCGTCCTAACCGTTACCTTCGCAGTATCTACGTAACCGCGGAACTTACCTAACGCCCACACGACGGCGAGTGCCTCTCGCTCCGTCGTGGAATAATTCTTCTCTGCACTAGTGAGAAGACGACTTGCGTACTCGATCGGTCTCTCATCGTGTCCCTCCCCCTGCATTAAAACAACCCCGAGGCAGTAAGCGCTACTGTCGGTGCAGAGAACGAATGGCTTCGACTCATCCGCCTGACGCAGAATGGGAGCGGATACGAGGAGACGCTTTATCCGCTCAAACGCCTCCTGATGCTCGGCGTCCCATCGCCAGGCACTTGATTTCTTCAGGAGTGTCGTAAGAGGTCTCGCGATCTCAGCATAATTATTAATAAAGCGGCGATACCAACTCACCGTTTGTAAGAAACATTTTAAGTGTTTAACGTTCTGAGGGGCGGGCATATTATTAATAGCCGCCGTCTTATCTGGATCCACCTGGATTCCGCCTGGTACAATAACGTGTCCTAAAAACTTAACAGATTCTCTATTCTGTTGCTCCTGTTAACTTAGATCCCTCATCTGCGCGCCACATCAGCTCATCAGATGCGGCGTGCAATAAATCTGTACCTGCAGGGTCAAGTGTGTACGAATAAATAAAATTAAAGCACTGTCCGGGACTATCCATAAATGTCCAAGTGCGATGGGCAACGTTTATTACCATTCCGGCCCGAGACAAGAAATCTATACCTAGAAGTGTTCTAGTGTCACAACCTGGCAACACTAGTAATTGACACATTACACTATGGCCTTCGATATCTATACCTACCTCGGCCGTCAACAAGTCTCTCCACCCTTGTGTACCGTCAGCCAGGTGTACAAATCGTTTAACTTTACTAAAGTGTACTCCCAAGTCTACTAAAATTTTATATAATAAAGGACTCGCAATACTATGCGTAGCCCCCGTATCCACTATCGCCACTCCGGTATGACCCATAATGGATATATTAACCATAGGATACGATTCACGCGTACTCACGTTAGTTAACTTAATACATGACGCACTTGTATTACCTATACTACTATTATTATTATTAACGCAATTATCGTGATTATTAAAATCTACATCCAAATTATTGAACGAAGTTTTACCATCCGAATTCGTTAAAGTTTTCACACAAATATCACATTTCGACCTCACGACACCTTCCTTACCACAACCGTAACAACGTATACTTTTACGCGTGCTATCGCTATACAAATGTTTATCATTATTATTATTAATTATAACCTTCTCACGATTGCGACATTCTTCACTAATATGCCCAAATAATTTACAATAACTACATCGGGGCCTATTGTTTTTATTACTACGCGGAGTGATCGCGTTCGTACTATCAAAACACGATCGAGTGAGATCGCGACCGGTAGTAGTGACTGATGTTCGTGAAATCGCGTTTTTACAATTATTACTATTATTGTTATCCTTATTTACCTTAAGAGTTTTATACATATCCTCCGCGATCCTCGTTTTATACATTAAGTCATCTAAATTACGAACATTATCGCGGGAAACTCTTTTAACAATACGTCGGTGTAATAACCCGTAACAAATATCAACTTGCACTATTTCATCGAGCTTATACGGTAACTTTGCAATTAACGCTCGCACTTTACACAAAAACGACTCGGCGCGTTCTTCTTCTTGCTGCTCCGTAGCGAAGATCTGCCGTAGAATCTGATGTGCGGGCTGCGCCACGCCATACGCCGTGCGTAGGCGGGCGACCGCGTCCGCCCATGTAGTCACCGACGCCTTAACGCCGCGCCACCATACTGCCGCTTCACCCTCCAGCAACATCGGCAATCCGCGGAGTGCGAGCTCGTCACTCACGGCCGCACACTCCTTAAATATCTCGACGGCATCCAGGAACGCTTCTAATACCTCGGCGTCCTGGGACGACCCGTTGAACCGCGCCGTGCACTTAGTAAAATTGGCGTCGACACTCGCGACGCTGGCAGCAGTACCACTCCCGCTGTTCACATTATTTGTTTGAGAGGCCACGACTGGGGTGGAGGCCCTAAATTCACTGCTGGACGTCATCAGAGAATTGATAAGGCTTCTATTTGCTTCCACTTGCGCACGCGTGATCGTTTCCATCAGCGCGGATAGGAAGTGTTCGGGGAGCTGGGGTGCTGGTTGCTGTGTCGAGCCGGCTCGCGCAGCTCCGTCCACGTAGCCGTGCTCGATTGTGCTCTCCTCTCCCTCTGTGATATCGTCCCCTCGCTGCTGCCGAAGCGTTTCCCCTCTCCTCGTCATAGGCATCTTCACGCACTAGTATATAAGTTTAAAAGTTCGAGCCACTAGTATGGGCGCCAGTTTAATAGGTATACAACAGTCTATTAAAATATATTTATTTCACTTGAGGTTTGACAAGAAAACTTATGGTTATTGGAAATTACACAAAAAATTACATAAAATCTTACAACTGCGTGAAAATGAGAGTCGTGGAGGATCGTTATGATACAGATGTTTACGCGTTCGGCGCTCGCGGCTCTCTGCCTGGTCGAGCCACGCCGTCGCTCACGCGTTCGCGGGAGACGGGGGGGCGCGGGCGCCTAAACTATACGATCGCACGAAACACGGCCCTACAGGATCGTACATGTTCCGACACGATACCCCGCGATCACCGTTGTTTGTAAAAACCCCGCGTTACATAAATAATTTATATTATTATTAGTGTAACACATTACTGCCAAATTTTTTATACCTGTCGAATGGTACCACGCGACTGACTATAGGGCGAAACGTAGCGCCAAATTGCCAACATGAATAGGCACCCTTAAGTAATGTGATCCTTTCAGCGATTATCTATGATGTCTGAGAGTTGACATCTTCAACATTTGGCATTTGTTGACATTTCACTATTTCGTATTTATTTTCTTTGAATTGTTTTAAAAAAGAGAAACAGTTCATAAAATTCTCTTGTTATTATTATTGAAGTAAATGATTATATTATTTACATTTCAAAATGGTACAATCACAATTTTCACTATCATGGGATTCCTACAAATCAAATATATGTTCGGGATTTAGTTCTTTACAACAGGTAAATACGGTGGCAGGTTGTTTAAAAATTTATAAATAAATCGTTTACTTATTAGTTCTTTATTATTAGAAAAATCTTTTATTTAGAATGGAGAACTTGTGGACATGACCTTAGCAGCAGAGGGACATTTTGTTAAAGTACATCAAGTATTAATAGCTTTGTCAAGCCCTTATTTGAAGCAACTTATTTTATCAGCACCATGTCAACATCCAGTAATATTTCTTAATGTAAGTAAATTGATTGCAGTGTTTTGGATTATAAATTCAAAGTTTAGTGTTGTTACTTGTTAGTAAAAATGTAACTAACATTTTCTATTGTAGAATATGTCACATGCAACATTATCATTAATATTAGAATACATATACACTGGAGAGGTAATAGTACCATCTGCGAATTTATCATCCTTTATTGAAGCTGCCAAAAGCCTTCACATAAAAGGTCTAGAAAATGTGGTGAGTGCACTTCTAATATATTTAAAATTATATTTTGCTTGGTAGAGTTACATATACTACATATGGTATACTTACAGCTTACTATTTGTATCTTATTAATACTAAATACAATTCAGGTTGATGGTAGCAGTAAAGGTGCCAGAATTGAATTAAATTTAGAAGACACTACCACAAGTAGTATTTGCAGTAAAAGAGATACAAATATTTCAGAACAGGTTTGTTACTTCTATTTATCAAATAAAAATATACATATAGGGAATGTAAAAGAAATTTCTTATGCTGTTTTTTATTGATACAATAACAAATTTACATCTTTTGACATATTTTTAGTTGAGTTAGGTTGGAATGTAATATTGTTTCCTATTTATTCTATGATTTTATTCATTATCTCGTTTTCGTAATATTATTTTATACCATTCTACCTTTTCGAAGGCAATATGGGCAAATAATGGGTTAATATATAGCCTTCATATACAATATCATACATAAGTATGCTTAAAATCGATTTTATAGTTTTTAATTTAGTATTAGAATTAAAACCTTTATTGTTTTATAAATATTGCAGGTAAACATACAAATGTTGTAATAGTAAAGAACTAAAATTATTTTTATATGTATATCAATAAAATTATCCAATAAGAGCTTTCTATTGGTAAATAATTTTCTGAATTGGACCAGTCCAAATCCAGGCCACAAGTCCAAAGATATTTTTTACATATCTACATAAGAACAATTTTATGTCTTTAGAATATTAGTACAGACTCTTAAAAAGGCAATTTTATTTCAGGTCACATTGCCTTCAACTGCAAGAAAAATATATATAAAGCCAAAAGATGAAGTGAATCCAATAACTGGGTATAGATTTTCATATTATCATCTAGGAAATGATTTATTACTATGTAACTGTATACAAATTTTAATAAATTTTCACATATTTATAGAAATGATGTTTGAACTTAATATCAGCAGATTGATAGCTGTTCTAGTCTTCCCAAATCTTTTGGGTGGTGTGTTTGTAATTGTTTCCCACACTCTGTTATACTACATACTTTCATAAAATAAAATTCATGAGCAATGGTTTCCTTACACTGTACACAGACACTAAAATCATATAGATGTAACCATGGGTGATGGGAGGGGAGTGCAAGGGGGTACACTTGCACCCCCTGCACCCAATAAACATATAAGAAGTACATAGGACATACCTAAGTAAATGTTATGTTTATAATAGTTTTTAACAATTATAACATATAATAAATGTGTTTGCTAAAATTTATCGTTTTTGGGGGCTTCAAGAAGGAGTTTCTGAATAATGTTACTTGGCAGGTGCCTTCTTAAAATAGATTTGTTTCCAGTAAAATATAAATTATTTGATATCCAGAATGTGAGCTATGTTAGTTTTAAATTTATTACTTAATTCTTATAGGAACAAAAAGCCATCTTGGAACATAACTACGTCAGTTAGCGACATACCGACCTACTCTATGGTCACTGATGATACAGTACACGACAACAATGAATCCTTTAGTGACAGCAATTTACAATTATCGGAGAAAAATGATAAGTGCAAAGGTATATATATATTTTATTTTAATTACAGTATTATACTAATTTTTTAAGTTTATATTGTTTTGGTGAACATTTTAATTACTTTAACTTGGATTAAAAAAAAACTTTTGCAGCATTGAATTGTTAAATGTTTTATAGAACGTTATGGGTCTTCAACCATTTCGGAAAGGAATTACATTTATCTAATTCAGTTAAACTAAAATAACTTATTATTAATATATAATAATACAGTAATACATTGTTTTCATATAAATCTACTGGTTTACGCGGTGCACGCCAGTAAAGCTGGGAAGTTGGCATGGTTTTTTCCGACATCTTCCACAATCGTCATGTTTCAGCTAATTTACACAAATCTATAATGAATTATAAACCCAAACCTTATTCATGAATCACTCCGTCCATTGGTGAAAACAAATGAAACTCTGTAACGAACGTATGAAAATTCGTTACATAGATTTTGGATTTATCTGGTTCAGACAGACAGACCAACCGCGGGGCGGGAACATTATTTTGTAGCATGTAGTGATGACGAATAATCCTCTCGAAATAATTACGTATAAAGCCATCTATTATTAAAGGCCATATAGATTTAAGTTTTTCAGGCGTTTACATATGAACACGTAGGTACAATCAGGAAGTTATCCAGGCATCCATATCAGGTAAGCCAGTGTGCTGGGTGCTGAGATTACTCTAGTAATAATATATCTTTGTCAGCAGTATCATCGAACCTGCAATTCACGGTGTCTATCCGCGGCTCCCTGCAAGTGATCCTAAACCGCTACATATACAACCTGCACTCGTCGCAGAGCTCGGGCGTGCGGCGCTGGCGGTGCATCGACTATCGTAACAAGAAATGCTCAGCTTTCGTCGTAACTAACGGCAATATTGTTATGAACAGGTAAAGATTGGAACATTTTTTTATGAAAGCTGTCATTGCTAATGGCTCCATTTTGATATTTTTTAAGGACGTGGCGTACGATAAAACTGATACACATGGATAGAGTATGAGTAAACAAACAAATTATATCAGCACTACAGTATCCTTTAAATGTCACGTTTCCGAGATATTTTAAATAATTTTTTTGGCGGATTTTGACTTTTGGTTCTCGACGTTTCGGATACTTTACAGTAACTGTGGTCATGGGAGAGACTTAAAAGGTTTAGACGTCTCAAAGGTTATTGTATAGTTGTTACATCAAAAAAATAAACACATAAATTTTGTATTTGTTCCAGAGCGAATCCTCACAACCACTCGTTTCATGATAAGAAGATTCTGGATAAAATAGAAAAGAACGCCGTCTACTCTGCGCTGGATGATGTACAAAACTTTATAGACAAAGAAAAAGCTAAAGATCGAGAAGAGTCTATGGAAAGTGAATATCTTCCAATGTCTTTTGCTAGTATGACTAATCTACCTGAAACGAAAAATATACAATCTATGAATAAAAACACTTGATTTTTTAACAAATCTGAAGCAATAAATATAATTATCTAAAAGGTGTTGTTATTTATTGTATAATAATGATAATGATTGTCGGCTAACAGTAATAAACCGCTTATCACGACATTTAGCAATGTAGATTAGAAAAAAAGTAAGATATGGCAGAATTGGAAAGTATTAGGTATAGCTCAATTAACAAGATAGTGAAGTCGTTTAAAGAATTTTGAATATCGCTATTTTTTGTCGAATTAAAATCGAAAGGAAATCTAATTTCTCTACCCGTCCAATTATTATTATTACCCGTTGAATTATTTAATATGTCCCTCTAACGATCAAATCTGCATTTTAGAGAAGTAACAGAAGTAAACCGTTCAAGTCACCTTACTCTTGTAGTAATAAGAATACTGTACATACATTCAGAAGTATACGCACAGACATACGCTCCAAATAGCATATTGTGTAATTTAACTGTACAGATTCAATAGCTGTGCAGGTACATATAAGTACCTACTCCACTTTATTTGTTACTTTTAGTGTGGAAGTCGGTCGGTTCATTTAAAAAAGTTTTTATCAAATTAATTTGTATTATAAAAAACGTGTTCATTTATTCTGTCGAAAAGCAATCATTAAGTTTCAGGTGAATTGGACCAGAATAAGATAATTTTTAGGGTTCTGTACCTGCAAAGGTAAAAAAAGGAACACTTATAAGATCACGCTTTTGTCCGACTTTCCGTCTGTCTGTCCGTGTGTCACCATCGATTTTCTCAGGAACGGGTGAACCTAGCAAGTTGACATTTATACCAGATACTGAGGTATACAGTTCCTATTAGGTGTATACAAATCAAGGTCCTGAGTCAATACGATAAAAAGATATGGGTAAATTTAGATTTTCGCGAAAACTTGTAGGGAAGAGTGGGGTAATCACGGACGGCGGGTAAGTAATGGCGGATACGCCAGTTTAGCTATGTTAGAAAGAGAAACGAAATATTTTGAATGACGTGATAGTGAGTCGGGTCCGCCACTAGTGCCAAACTGTGAGAGCTGACGTGAAAGCGCACTCACTGTACAAGGTAAGTTAACTTAAACTGTCAATAGTAAAACACTGACACTGGGAAAAGCAACTACTATTTATTCCATCCCAAAAAGCACAATATATGACTATCTCAAGAAAGACGCAATTAAAACTCCAAATACAGGAAGAAAAGCTATACGAGTATTTTCTGAAGAACAAGTAAAAGAATTAGAAAAAACAAAAAAATAGAAAAAAAGAATTAGAAAGAACAAGAAAAAGAAGAAAAAACTTAAAAAAGTGCTTCGAAGGATAATCAAGATTATTATTGTGTGATTTGCGATGAAAAATATGTGAATCCGATCACTGAAGATTGGATTTCATGTTATTAATGCAAATTATGGGCCTATGAGAAGTGCACGGGTGGAGGAAGTACTTCAAAGGGCTTCTTGTGTGACTTTTGTATTAATTAGAGTGTGTTCGTGATTACCCCACTTACCTTTCGTAATTACCCCACATGCTGTGGGGTAATCCCGGAAACTAATAATTTTGTTTTTTCTTTATAAAAATACGATTTTATTCAAAAATGTATCATTTTTGACTATGAGAATAAAAGATTAATTAGTTGTAGTATAAACTAAACAAATAGCTTTTGTAAATGTATTTAGTTTTGTATTATTCCACTTTTCCCTTAAGTGTTCGTAATTACCCCACTCTCCCCTAAGTACCAAAATTTACCTTAATTTTCAACTTTTTTTATTTTTCGGAATTTTCTCTTTACTTGTGCTGTAATGACTTGCTTTTAACCAAAATTGACAATTCTAGGTCAACCGGAAGTAGGTACTATAGTTTTTGTCCGGACTCGCACTTGTGCGGAATTTTTTATGTATATTTATCACGGTTTTACTTTTTTTAATTCAAGTTGTACTACGTTATTACTATTCTAATACGCTTAAATTTAGGTGAGTATACGGTATTTTTGCCGAAACATACTACATAGGTACATACAATAGGTATATTTAAGAAAGTTACCTACATTCTTTATTTTAATTCTTAATCTATCCCACGGGAACGGCAGATTTTTTCGGGTGTTATTCTGATGTATGAGCTATATTATTGTGAAGTTTCATAAAAACCCATTCAGTAGTTTTAGCGTGAAAGAGTAACAAACATACATCCATACCGCTTACGTACATTCTTACAAACTTTGGCGTTTATAATATTAGTAGGACTAGCGACTCAGTTTCGCTTCGCTTGGGTTCGTCCCTAGATACGTTTTAAATGAACATAAATAGTTATTAGTATCATATGTCCGATGTTTTATTAGTTATTTTGTTATCGGAGGCGAAGACAAATCCAACAAATTAAAGATTATAAAAATCAATCCAGCCGATCTTGGGTTATAAATGGTATAACTAATCCGACTTTGTTTTATATACATATATAGACTAGCGACTCAACCTCGCTCCGCTTAGGTTCGTCCATAACGTATAGGTTCTTTCAATGTTTCGACTACTTAAAATGTTTCATGCCATATCTGATATCATACATCTTAGCGATAACCTCTGTCCTTACGTAGAACTCTTTTTAAAAATTTGAATAAGTATAAACACAATCCAGCAGTGGAATTACTTCAGGAATAGATAGGTACCTATTCGAATAGATATACAAGGATTAAAAAATACAAGTAAGCTATAGCAAGCAGCATATACTTTTGCCGATACTTAAATAATAATTTTTAATGTGACTAGCTTGATTCACCGGATAAACTTTCATGCCCATATTCACCCCCTTAAAGAATGATTTCCGGGATAAAAATCCTATGTCCTTTCCAGGGTCTCAAACTATCTTCTTACTAAATTTCATCTAAATCGGTTCAGTAGATCCAGAGATTACCCCCTACAACGTCACAAACTCACAAACTTTACCTCTTTATAATATTAGTATAGATTACACTAGGAAGTAATTTAAGACGAGATGAAAAAAGAATGCTAAAAATAACAAAATTATGTGAATGACACTACAACGAGAATTTTATTTGATATATCGCTTAAAATTAATGTTATTAATTTATTATCAATAGAAGCGTACGACTACGCTATCTCGCTACAGTACCTACTAAAGTTTTGCGATTAAGTAGGTACTATATTGTAAATAAATTTACATTCGATTATTATGTACATTATCAAACTAACGTTGGAACTTATCCAAAGCTGACGGTTATAACGTTCCTTCAATGTTTCCATTACTTAAAATGTTTCATACAATATTATATATCTTATCGACATCCTCTGTCCTCACGTGCTACACTTTATCAAAATTAGAATATAAACACAATCCAGCAGTGAAATTACTTCAGGAATATATTCGAATAGATACACAAGGATTGAAAAATACAGGTAGGTATGCAAATATTTTTGCCGATACTTACAATAATTTGTGATTTATTATTAATTTATTCTATAACGTAAGTCCAATGATGTGCTTTCCAAAAATATCACCTATCAAAGGATTTTTTAAAGTTTAATGTGCCTATTATTTTTTTAATACACGTATTTTTGTATCTATCTTTTTTTTCTATTCCTAAATACATAATATATTTTAATAAAATACTTCACGTATCACGTATGTCTCTGATTGCATACAGCATATTACTATGTTTCTTCGTCAACTTGTTCTCATCTTTTTAACCGACGAAAAAATAGGAGGAGATTCTCAATTCGACACGTACCTACTACCTATATATTTTTTATGTCTGACCACGCATAACTTTTTACAGTGTAATTCGATTTCGATTATTTTTTTTATTGGATAATATAATATACCTCAAAGTTGGTACCATTTAAATCTGAAAAAAAATCCCCCGTAAGTGTAAAGTAAATGTCATAATAGTGTATGTATATGTAGTAACTTTAAGTCTCCATAACTTCCCCACCTAAACAATTGTAAGTAGAATACTGTATACACCTGTAAAGGCGAATCATACCGAATTGCATGTAAGTATATGTTACAATAATTATAGTATCATTCTGATAAGTCGATGGTGTATCTTTCTAATTAATAAATAAATAAAATAAAAATTAATAACTTTTGACCTTTAAGTTTCCTCAAAATATTTTTTATATATTTGAACTCCCCATAGCCTCTACCAGTCCCTACCCTCCAGTCTTGTTCCACATGGTCATCACTTAAATTTATATACATAATATGTCTTTTAACAATTTTTGTAAACTAATTTTGTTCATTTTATAAACCGATTTCCAAAAAGGAGGAGGTTCTCAATTCGTCGAACTTTTTTAATGTATGTTCACCGGTTACTTGAAGATGCTTGAACCGATTTGGATTTTTTTTTGTTTGGAAGGGCCCCATTTAAATTTTATCGAAATCGGTCGAGCGGTTTTTAAAAAAATCAACAATAAATTATATTTTTAAACAAATTGAGTGGAATACGCTATTAAAAAAAATTCTTCTTACTAATTACCTGCTTCTTACATCTACACTAAAAATGGAAAAATAAAAACTTAAAAAAAACGGACTTCCAGGCACTAAAATGTAAAAAATAACTAAACGGGGTTTTTCATTTAGAATTGATAGATACCTAATCAGATATTTTCGAAGTCAGACAATATTTTAAGATATGAATAACTAATAGGTAAATATGATTAGGTATGAACTCTAATATATGTAGTTAAAATATTATTATCAATTTGTGATGTATTTTACGTATCGAAATAGATTTGTTTTGCATCGGCTGGCACCGACTTCGAAATAATATGTTTTCTCGAATTTAGGTCCAATGACTTATGGACTATTGAAGCTAAGTCAAATAAACAACTTATATAACGTTATACTTTCTTAGATTTACGCGAATACTTGACATTTTAAATAAAACTATCTTTTCGGATTTTTTCGCGAATTTATTTTGATTTTTATTAAAAGAGAAAAGATAAATATAGTTTTATTTAAAATTATATAACGTTGTTAACGTTTACTGTAGATAATAATGTCTATTTCATGATTTTCCAAAAAATCAAAACATATATTTTTTGTATACATATGTACCTATGTCTTAAAAAGTCCTCAGAATTTGGAAAAGTAAGTTATATGTACATACTCATACTATATACCACATTTTGATTTTCTACCAACTTAGGGATAAATTATAAATACGCTCAATTATTTTGAACTTGATTCAAACATTGCTATCGAGTTGTTAATAATAATTTTAAATATCAGTAAGGGCAGAATAACGAATGCCGTTTATCTAGAGTAAAATTAATAAAAAAATATATTACTTAATGTTATTATAATTAATTACCATTGTTCCGCGTTATTTAGTTAAAATAGTCAATTGTATTATTGTGTAGGTATCTTGAATATTTAATATTTGAATTGTTTTCTTTTATCGAACACAAATTCAAATAAAATCGAAGCAAAACCCGAAAACATTCTAAAAACGCTTCCAAAAACGCTAATTCTGTAGTCAAATTACAGTAATCAAAAATGGGGTATGTAATTTAATTTATAGGTAAAAAAATATTGTGGGCAAATTAATCCTCAAAAAATCGATATCGTCTTTTCGATTGCTTTAGTATCGATATTTTAAATTATAATAATAATATAAAATATTATTGTAAATTGATCCCAGAGCTTTTCTATTTCTTTACTAGTGACTCATCTTCGCTCCGCTCGGGTTCGTCCCTAGTTACGTTTTAACTTATAAATCTCTCAGAGATAAGACATTTTCTCACAGTAAAAAGCCACAGTAAAAAACCAGCTATCATCATAACAAATTTCATCATTATGCGTTCTCAGACAGACAGAGAAAAATTGTAAAAACTATAGCTTCGGTCTCTATATCGATAATAATGACTATTTCAATACGATTTCCCAAGTAATGTTTGATGTGTAGATTCCACTCAGTATTTTAGTATATTATGTACCTATACATAAAAAAAACAATTGTCTTTTATGATCAAAACATCCAATCAATACAAAGATTAAAAATTAAAAAAGATTAAATTGTATGTGGTTAAAATGTAATAAAAATAATTAATTAATTTTTTTCTAACGCCCAAGATGATTTTGTGATGAACCTTAATAGGCCATGACAAGTTTCTTTTTATTTTTATAATTATTGATGCACGTTTATATTACGGCGACTCACTGACTCTGCTGCTTTGTCAATGCGGTCCCTCGCTTGATTTTTTTCGTCGACGTTAAAATTATAATACGCGCTCATATCAAATTTTTAGTTTTCAAGTAAATAAACTAATATTTTCTTTAATTTTTTTTGACCTGAATTGATATGTAAGGAGTACTAAAGCAAAGCTATATAATTTTATTTCAATTTTAGTTAAAATTTCGATAGTGTTCCTAGGAAAGCCAATGGTTCCTTGTAAGGCCGAAAAAGGATTATCAAAAAATTAACAGTTGGCCTTGCTAGGGCACAAGGACCTTGCTAAGAACATTAATCACGAAAATATTAATACTTAGTTTTTAATTGTAAATACGTATCGGGAAAGGTAAAATAAAGTGTAAGTTCATAATAATATTATTTATAATAATGCTTTAAATAATTTCATAACTCCTTTTGGCCTTACAAGGAACAAAGTTATAAGAACGCCATTATAGTTGGTTTTAAATTTTTTTTGATTTATTATAACGATTATTGGCAAGTTATTTGATATCGATAAAATACCAAGTTATTAAAAATATTTTTTAAACATTTTCAAGGGTACATTTTTAGTTTTACAGTAGTGTTCAAGTAATGTTCGTTGACAATTTTTTATGTGAATATATTTATTATGATATGTATTTAATGTTTCATTTTAATGAAAGACCTTTTTATGATGATTAAGTATAACCAGATATTTCGATTAGTTTTAAGTTAAACGACTGATTTATTATATCGGCCTTGTATGGAGCCTTGTTCCTTGGAGCAAGACCATTTTGGAAGAGTTCAATAAAACTTAAATTTAACAAATAATCATTAACTTTGCAATACAACAAAATGTTTTATAAGTTACATAATAAAATAAAAGAATAATAACTGTTTATTTGTTAGAGTGGCTTTCCATAGTCCACCCACTTTATTATCTGTCGTCACTTAAAAAAAAAGTAATTCGTAATTAATGGTTACATTAAAGTGACGCTATTAATTTCCCTGCTATAAAAATTACGTACAAGTGCGAGTCGAACTCGCCTATCGAGGGTTACGTACATATTTTTAGGAAATGTGTTAAACTTTAATTTTCGACTTTTTTAATTTTTTGGAATTTTTCCTTTATTTGTGAATTATGTGATTCTAGGTCAACGGGAAACCTAAACCATGATCCAAAACCTATAGGGTACTTCCAGTTGACCTAGAATTGGCAATTTTGGTTAAAAGCTAGGTCTAACAGTAAAGGGCTAATTCCGGAAAATAAAAAAGTTGAAATTTGAGGTAATTTTTGGTAGATACTTACAGGTTTCGCGAAAATCTAAATTTGCCCATATGTTTTTATCTTGTTGACTCAGGACCTATTTATAATTTTTATACACCTAATAGGGACTATAGACCTCAGTATCTGATATAGATTTCAACTTGCTAGGTCCACCCGTTCCTGAGAAAATCGGTGGTGACATACGGACAGACAGACGGACAGACGGATAAACGGACAAGAGAGTGAACTTATAAGGGTTCTACTTCCTTTTTTATCTTTTGAGGTACGGAACCCTAAAAATAATAAATAACAATACTGTTATCGTATCGGTTTAAAATTACGCCAATAACAACGTAATAACACAGTATGCATCGTCCTTGTTATAGAAAATAGTTACGTATACGTAATATTAATACATTGTAGAAGTCCATAATATTATGTTACATAATATGATAATGACCTATGTCCTAAATATTCCCACTGGTTGAAAATTATTAAACAAAAACAGTAAATTATTTACCGATTTTCGCTTGGGGGCGTCGAAATACAAACACTCGGTAGGTATTGAGTGTTTGATCCTAACATATTTAAACACAGCCTTAGTGCCATGACATCTATTAATACTACCATTCTAATATATGTATTATTGCGTCATACAATTTCCTTTCTATAATTCAACTTCACCCTTTTTTACTCCTTTGTGCAAACAGTTTATACTTTAAGGCTTAGTAGTACTTGCCTGTCGATTCAACCATTTTCAATGAGAACTACCGCGCTTTTTGCCGCGAGAGGCGCTAGTGTAGAGTGATCTATAAATGTCAATTGACACTGAATGTTGACTCTTTGTGAGCTTTTCATCGCGGATCTTCATTAAAATTGTAAACATTGACCCATTCCTGATTAATTATGGCAGACATGACACACAACAAATATTATTACTTTAAAAAAGAGCTAAGAAAATGTCAATATTTTATCTATTTGGTTATTCCATATTAATTATTTAAAACAAAATCCTGATAAACTATTGTCGCGCTAACCATGTTATTATTACTATATTATATTTATGGCTCTGCCGCACCAACAAATACTATTTAAACGACAGCGATAAGACCTTACTCACCAGTGGCGCCAACTGGTGCCACCAGAAAATATAGCCCTCATTAGGTATAAGCATTCTGCTCTGTTTTTACATTCTTACAGTTTATTTTGTGCACTCTACAGACTTGGTAGTGGAGTTCTGGAAGCGTCAAGCAGCTGAATTGAACATACATTTTTCTGTGTACGAACCGGCTGGGCTGCCAATATGCGTGCTCACACTGAAAGGAAGACAACCAAACCTATCCAGTATAATGCTTAACTCGCACTCTGATGTCGTCCCTGTTAATGATGTAAGTAAAATATCGCTATTAATAACCCAAATCTATGTATATTTATTATTTATGTTTTTCAAAATTAGTAAAAGAAGGTACAACTAAAAAGTGAAAGAGAAAATTCCAAAAGATCTTAATTCTCATACAATACGTTTTTCTATTTTTATATGACAATTTTTATTCTTTTATGCTTAAATGATATTTTGTTACAAGTATTCACATATTACGTAAAGCATAATGATAAATTGATTTGTAGTAATGTATAATTGCAGGAAGAATGGACCTATTCCCCTTTTGAGGGTTATATTGATAATAATGGAGATATGTATGGTCGTGGAACACAAGATACGAAGGGTGTTACTATTCAATACATTGAAGCAATTCGAAAAATACTTCATAGTAATGTTACTTTGGAGAGGACAGTGCATTTGACTATTATGCCAGGTAAAACTCTGTGGTTAATAAAATAAACAGGTAGATACTAGGTAACTACAATACGACTTATAATAAAAATAATATTTGAATTTTATTTTAATATCTTACAGATGAAGAAATTGGTGGATTTAAGGGTATGGTGCCGTTTATAGAGACGGAAGAATTTAAATCATTAAATGTTGGATTTGTATTGGATGAGGGCTTAACATCATCAAGTAATGTTATGTATGCTACATATTGGGATAAGAGACCGTGGCGTGAGTAAAGTTTTTACTGTAATTACGTATATCAAAAAGATAATGCAAAGCTACACAGGTTCCAAGTGTGAATAACCAACAATGTTAACCCTTAACCACTGACAGTGACATGTCATTTTGTGACACTACTACTGACGTACAACATGTACATATGATATACGTCGGCCATTTTGAAGACCTCTGGTGTATTAATTAAAGTGTATTTAGTGTAATTATTGTTATCTGTTCCGCTAAGCATATTTATTAGAATGTAGGAACATTAAAAAAAATATAATAATATTAAAAGAAAAATATTTATTAATCAACGACCTAACGAAATTAAGATAAACATTTTTAACCGTCTTCCAAAAACGAGGAGGTTCTCAATTCGTTGGAAGCATTTTTTTTATGTGTGTTCACCGATTACTCGAAGACGCCTGAACCGATTTGGAAAATTTTTGTTTTGTTTGAAAGCGTATACTTCCCAGGTAGTCCCATATAAATTTTATCGAAATCGGTCGAGCGGTTTTTAAAAAAATGAACAATAAATATATTTTTTAAACAAATTGTTTAATCGAATATGTTATTAAAAACTAAGATATGAATATCAAAATATATTAGATTTCCTATGCGTCGGCTGGCACCGACTTCTAAAATATCTGATTAGGTATCTAGTCTAAATGAAAACCTCCGTTTAGTTATTTTTTACATTTTAGTGCCTGGAAGTCGCTTTTTTTTTTAAGTTTTTATTTTGATCAAAATTTAATAGAAAGTAATAAGAGAGAAAAACTTATATGTAAAATAGGTAAATACCTAATAAAGTTTTTACTTTTTCTCCAAAATGTTATACACATTAACTGATTAAGCTCGCCAAGTACCTTTATTAAACAAAAAATAGTAATTTATAAGAATTTTCAATTTTGCGTGAAATTTTTGCATTAATTTGTGAATACTATCGTGATAAAATATTGCAATTTCGATGTTATTCTTTACATTTTAGAAGTAGAATTTAATATTCGAGGCGGAGGTGGTCACGGAGCAACAATATCTGATGGAAGTGCTGCAGAGAGAGTAATTATCTAATTAGATTTTATTATGATCATAATTCTTATTATTATCAAACAGTTTAATAACGTTATGCTTCTCTATATATTAAGATTTTCTGACAAAAGCTCAGAACACTTCTTGTTTAGTTAGGTAATTATAGTATTTTTAAAAATGTTTATTATTCAATGTTTATGAATTATTTAATTAATTGCCATACCCATTCTGATCCTTCGTGTAAGATATATAATCTAGGGGCTCACAGGCACACCTAGCAGGGGGTCCATAAATCTTAGATAGCCATCTTTGGGAGTCTGCCATATTCGATTTACAATGACGTCACCTTGCTTATTGTTTTTCGTTTAATGCCCATATCATAAAGGTCACTGTGGAAATGATAAATTGCCATTTTGTAACGCCCGCCATATTGGATTTAAAATAGCGGCTTAAACGTGTGTGCCAAATTTCAGCTCAATCGGACACTGGGAAGTGGGTCAAATTTTACTTTCAAAATCTATTACAGACAGATACCGGGACAGGTAAACTAAATAAAAGCTTGTTATAATTTTTATCGATACACGTGGGAATAATCTGGAATATAGCCGTCACACTATACTAAGGGGAGATTTAACTACTGACTTTATACTATACTAGCATTGCCCGTGGCTCCGCCCGCATTCGGATGACCAAAAACCAAATTCTTAGGTTTTACATATTAGTTTACTCTTACTATAGAGATATATTTTTCTAATAAATAGTATCCTATATGACAGACGGACAATTTTTTTAAAAACTATAGATTCGGCCTCTGTGTCGATAATAATGTTTATTTCAATAAGATTTTCCAAAAAATATTTAATGTACAGATTCGGCTTGGTTACAATTTTATTATATGTATAGATAACTTTATACTGTAGTGTAATAATGACTAACTTCATAAAGTAGTCTAAATCTGTCACAACGTAAAAAAATCACTCTCATAATTTTCTTTCATCGCCAAAAGAAGTACCAATACTTAACTTCAAAAAATATTAAATTATCAACTAACTTCTTCAGTTCTGTAATATTAAAATTCACTTAAAATTGATTCATAGGTTTTATTATATTTTTAATTATTAAAACTTAGATAATATTCAAAGTTTGATTAATTTATTACAAACGCGACCTTGCTAAAAGTTGCATAATGTAGAGCTAGTAGAGAGGCTTTATCATGCGCAACTCAAACCGATCGTTGGAGCGGGGGGAAGCGGGCAATTAATATTTACTGGGCATCTAACACTGAAACATCATTGGGCAACTCTTAGAAGCTACCTAAGTTTTCGACTGGCTAAGACCTAAGTAGAGGCAATGGCATAATTTAATTATGGCACAATATGGCCTCTGAGCCGTGTGCGGCTGGGTTCGTGAAGCACGCATACTACATACCTGAGTCCTGACACAGTCACTAATTAAGTTTGCTCAATGTCAGACGTCAGATGTGTATGTAAACAATTTGAGGTCTTTCAATGGATTTATACAAAGAATAACTAACAATAAAAAACATTTAATTATGAGACCTAATGTATTGTTCTTTAAAGTTTCACAGTAAACAACAATAAATGCTCCAGCTTATGTCTATCTTATTCTTTTAGTCTGACACACGTACTGAGTTACCTCATTTGAAACCTTTGCATATCTGCTTATTTATTAATAAGTTTACTAACTATTTATTTGTTTTTGTTACTATGATTCTTTATTGTTTAAGCTTCAAACTCTCATCAACTTGGCCATGGAGTATAGACACCAACAATTGAATATTGCAAGAGCAAACGATCCTTTAGATTATGGATGTTATACTACTACAAATATAAATATCGTTAAGGTAAATTTGTAACATTAATAAATTATCATTAATATCAAATATTTATATTTAACATGATTTTTTGAAACATTTATATTTAACATATTTTTGTTAATAAATAAATAAAAACATGATTTTAACGATTCTTCAGGGTGGAATCGCTGCTAATGTTATTCCTACAGAAATATCAGTAGTGCTAGACATGAGGCTATCTACTTCTACAAACGTGGATGATTTTCAATCAATGGCAAGTACCGATATGTATACATTTTTTAATTTAATTCTAATCATGTTTTGTTAAGTTTTCGTATAGACTTATTCTCTTTCATCTTTTATAAAAATTATAATGTAATAATGTTTTAATTAATAAATAACCTACTTGATAAAACTAAACTGAGATGGAATGAATGATAATTTTTTTAGAATCTTAACAAAATAATAGTCCTATCAATATTAACAATTAAATCAATAAAATACGTAAATCATTTAGCAATATATGAATGAGAATAGTTTAAATAAATTAACATTTAGATGAGCTTGTAAACATTCTAGCTAAATAATACTGTCGACATTAGAAACGCGTCGATTAGATAACTTCCTTTTTTTATCAATCACATAGTTACGGTTAAAGTTGTAAAAAGACAATAAAAATTATGAGAAATTATAAGTAGTAAAAATTAAAATTATTTGAGTAATGTAGGAAACTCTACATCAACAGTTTAGAATTTTTTGTTCTCTATCTTATATACTTTCTCAAAGCAGTGGTAGCCCGAGGGTAACGCGCTCGCTTGGGAAACCGAGGGAAGCGGGTTCAAATGCCGGGTCTTGTACCTCTGATATTTCATGTGCGAATCATTTCTAACATGATTACCACTTGCCTGACGGTAAAGGAAAGTAACATGAGGGAACCTGCATGTCTGAGAGAACCTAGCAAGTTTTCGAAAGACAATATGTGGCCAACCCGCACTTGGCCAGCGTGGTGGACTATGGCCTGATCACCGTCGTATCGAAGGGAGGCCCGAGCCCAGCAGTGGGACGTTAAAAAGGGCAAAATACACTGCTTAAAGCTTGAATTATTACTAAATTGAAATAAGTTATTTCAATTTAGTAATAATTCAACTTTCTGTATTAACCTTACAACCTTGAACAGCAAAATTCTAATATTCTCTTTAGTTGGATAGTTGGTTGGCGAGTTTGGGCCCCAACTCTACGATACAATACATAAGGAGAATGGAACACTCTGCAGCTACCGCAGTAGATGATTCAAATCCATACTGGATAGCGATGTCTGATACTTTGAAAGATTTGTAAGTATTTGTTACTTTGTGTTTCTTTCAAAAATTAGTTGTATATGAAATAAATTTTGTATGTATATCAAGATCAAAATTAGAAATATTAAAACTAAATTAATAATATGGATATATACATATATCATACTGCAAAAATACTCGTTCAACTGTCACTCGTATTCAAATGGGCCATTACATTTTTAAAACATAGTAATTTTATTCATTTTTATACTATACATATTATATTAATTTGAACATAGTACGTAGTACATTAGGTTTATTTTTATAAAATCGAAAGCTTATTCAAATGTTTGAAATGTCAAAACTAGTAAAGTTACTTTGCTGCATATCCTATTATTGCCGATGCCTGGCATTTCTATAGAGTCAGCTTTCTTTCTTTAAGTTTTTTTACTCTTAAGTTTAAGAGTAAAGGGAATTTCTATATTAATCGTTAATTTTCAATTTTTGAGAAGAAAATATGAATAATACCTAATATAAATACTAAATACCTATATATAAAAATACCAAATCTAATATTTTATTTTTTTGTATATTTTAAGCATGAACTCTCTTCCTCTCAAGGGAGATAACACTATATGAGTTTTATTTTGACAAAAAAACCGTTAGTTATAAAATATTAATTTACTTATTAAAATGATAAGCATTCTATTATTAGTTCCTTACTTTTGTTAAATATATACGGGTATAAGGATAATATTTAATTGTCATATTTTTTAATTAAAACCCAAACAGTTAAACAGTTTTTAATATTTCCAAAACTAATTATTGTAAAAATAGTAAGCTAACGACTATTAAATTATATATTATAAATTCCATCCTCTAACTCTTCTAACACATGCCTGTATCTGTACACAAATATTAAAAAAAGTCAGTTTGAGCGTTTTTTGAGCATTTGTGTACAATATACGCAAAATAACTCCTCCATATTAAGTTTATATGCTAATTTGCGTGATACCAAAACCTATGCATAAAATAAGTAGACTATTGCTGCTAATATCCGGCGCACGGATTCTACCGTAAGTTTTACTGACATATACCTAATGATATAGAAATTTTAAACAAAACTAACAATAATTATATTCATATAATTTAATTCAAATTTAATTTATCACTAATTTTATTCTCATACTACTACGATCTATACAATGGTAACCCATCGGCATCACGTGCGTTTGATAAACCAATAGATGGACATGTGCACTTTGGTTTTACATCTCATAATATTCATGAGTGAATCATTTTCAATATGATTACCAATACTAGTGTAAGGTTGCATTTTTTATATATCGAGAGTTTTAATAGAAAATAATATGTTTGATTAATTTGTAATGATTTACGTATAAGGCATTTACTTATGTGACCTAGGCCGATAACAATGTGTTTTTAAAAAAAATAAAAAAAGGGCGCGGATATTCATTTATTTTCCCGCGCTTTTGCAGAGATAATATGTCGGTACTACCTGGTTGTGACTAGTCACGAATTGTTTATAATTATAATACTAAAAATTATGATTATAAATTATATAACTCACTAGCGATCATAAAAGTACTGAATATCAGAATATAAGCAAGGAATATCTCGAAGTTTTATTAGAAATCTCATACTAGTCTAATCCAATCCATAAAAATGCAATAATTGTAATTATATAGCAATTACCATAGGTGTAAAGGTATACATACATGTACATGTAAAAATTAGAATTGTATTCTATTTTCAGAAATATCACTTTGACGCCAGTTGTATGCCCAGCTACTTCGGATATGGTATCTGTGAGAAGGAAAGGCATCCCAGCTATCGGATTTTCTACTAGAACGAATATGATCTCTAAATTGCACGACGTTGATGAATACATCTCATTAGATGTGTTTCTTAAAGGTATCGACGTTTACGTCGCGCTCATCAAGCGACTAGCGAACCTTTCAGAATAAAAAATAGGTTATGTTGTGAGAAACTTTTATAGTATAGCAATTTAAATTATAATTGTTAGGTTAGATAAACTTATCTAACCTATTACATACTAACTAGTTTATATAGTTTTTAATTAATGTTAGTAAAATTAGTAATTTTATTAACAATAATAGTAAATCGTGATTTGAAAAAATATATATTGTTTTATTTCGTATTTTATTCGTAATAGGTATAAGTATTATACTCGTAAGTCAAAAAAATATTCGTCGCGAACACATGAGATAAATACGAGATTATCTATACATATAATAAAACTGTAGAGGTCGAATGTCAGTAAATAGAAAAAAAATGCTAAAAACCGAGTCAGGGGGATGTTAGAAGAGAAATAGTACAAATCAAGATTTTTTCAATTTTTTTGTTTCCCTGTCTGTTTGTCTATTTGTACGGGCTAATCTCCGAAACTGTTGGACGTATTTAAATGAAATTTTGAATGGTGGTACCTTATATCCCCGGTCAACATTTTAGATACTTTTCATCCCCGTGGGATAGTTAAAAAAGTATAGTAACATATACAGCTTAGTACACAAAAACTACTGAATGGATTTTAAGGAAACTTTACAATAATATAGTTCATACATCAGAATAACAAATAGACTACTTTTTATCCCGGAAAAATGTACCGTTCCCGTGGAATACATTTGTTTTGTTTGTCTAGAGGCAAACCCGAGCGAAGCGAGGTTGAGCCCCTAGTTTTATTAACATTCTTCTTTCATACCTTTATATGGATATGGCAGTGGTAAATTATATTATTATACATACTAAAAAAACCCGCGGCTACGCCCGCGTTCAATCTACAAAAAAACCTCTTTGGCTTTATTTTATACAGCGACTCATCCTCTCTTCTTATTTATATAATATTGTTCATACAAAAAGACTAAAATCGCGATAAAACAATGGGGGGTGGGGGTAGGATGGTGAAAAATACTTTACGACCTATTCTCATACTTACCAAATATACCTACCACAAAAATCATTAAAATCGGTCGAGCCGTTTCGGAGGAGTGCGACCACAAGCACCGTGACACGAGTCTTTTATATATTAGATATTTTTGGTCATGATATTTATTTGAAACTAGATATACATAGGTTTGATGCTTCATAAAATTAATATATTTTCTTTCCGAAATTATACGTGTCTGTCTTGAAAAGGTTGATTCATATATGTGTATGAAAAAACACAATCATAAATATAAATAGCCTAAACAATTGAATAAAACGATATAGGTTGGTACAGAGAGAAATAAAATGAGAATACTTAGGCGTGAACCTTTAGATAAATCAAATTAAAAACGATGAACTAGATATTAATTAATATGAGTATTTTAACAAAATCGATGGGTAGTTAGATATATGATTTTAAATTCGTTAGTAGTTTGCCCTTTTACTTTTTAATAATAAGCGAAAAAAATTGAAAAAGTGTCGTTACGACTTAGGGAATTAGGAATATAACAAACAACTTTTACGAATTTTGGTTTCAATAGGTATCACAATTTGACTTTATGCTGTGTTCTTGTGATCTAATGTAGTGTAGATTATCTATAAAGGGCTTACTACGTATATTAATCCAGAGAAAGACAGAGAAACTTTCAGTTGAGTTTCAAGTCATTTGGTTTATTTTCATTTTGAAGTACTCATCCATTACACTGTAATTAATATCGAATATCTGATGATGACACGTGGAGGCGGAAAGAGAAATTTAATATATGTATCTATCTACTAATAGATTGTTTTAAGGAATATTAGTATAAATATGTTATGATCTTTAGGATTTACAGCTATAGTGTATTTTTATACGTTCATGATTTTTTTTATTTTTCATATATGCATACATACATCTTTATATATATAATTCTTCTGTGAGTGTGTATGTCACTGAACTTCTCTCAAACGACTGGACCGATTTTGATGAAATTTTTTGTGTGTGTTCAAGGGGATCTGGGAATGGTTTAGATTCACAATTTGAATAATAATTTTCATCAAAAAAATTATTAAAAAAAGTTTGAAATTTTCAAATTAAAGACGTGTAGACAGGACAACGTCTGTCGGGTCCGCTAGTATTTTATAAATTCTCTTAACTAATTATATGTACAACTTTATTTATATAACTGTAATTTACGGTTTTTGATGTTCCTGTTAGCATTTAAACAAACACTTCTACCTTTTCAATTGCTACTTATATAAAAAAATTTTTTAGCGCAGTATTTATTTTTTCGTTGATTTAGTTCTTGTTTCAACACTCGCCCACTTTGCAGTAATGGAGCCTTTCTTCCGTACGTGCCGCAACATTTTTAAAAGGACTTTTTCGCGAGCCACCGCTCTTTGTTTGCCGACGTCGACGGATTTGAGAATAGTCACGCTTTTAACGAACAAATGAATGCTCCGGAATAATCGGGATTCGTTGAGTAAACCGTTTAGCACTCAATTGAGAAAAAATCGAGATCATTGCGAAAATGGTACGGATTAGCGTAATGCGACGACAAGGGTTATATCTTATACTTTATGTATAGAGGATACTCTCAATGAAGGCTTTAAATAGGTTAAATCTACATAATTTATAGCAATTCAAGAAGGCTATTATGAATTTTTACATGTGTATGAGGTGAAAACCTGCATAAAGTTTTTCTTCACACCGCTTTCTCTGAAGTATCAGTGTGTTATACTAAATTGATTATGTCTACTTGTAGAATTAATTAATTGTTTGAGAAAAATATTTACTTTAAATATACCTTCTTGTAGTAATAACAGTAGGTGATATGTCAATTTATAAATAATCTTTTAATAAATCTTGGTAGATGCATAATGGAGCGCTAGGGGCGTACTCGCAGTAGCGTTAATTGAAATAAATTGTCACGGCTGAATGTCGCAGGGACATAAATCAGAGTGCCGCGGGCTACCAGCTAAGTGCCTGCTACGAGTGAGCTACGGCGTAGTAACATTTAGACATGCCATATGCAAAAAATCTAAATTATAAATAATTTTGTCTGTCTATTTAATTTTTATATACGATTTTGATATCATCTGCTGTGGTGTGAATAATTAAGAATTTTCTTATGTTTTTAAACATAATAATTAGCATCGTAATAACTTTTAATAAATTGTAATACTTGCAATTTATTTAAAATTAGCTATGAATATATCTAGAATTAACTAAAGAAAAAGTTATATACCTATTAAGAATTATGCAGAGAAAAAAGTAGTTTTAACAGAAATTATAATGTAGGTTTCTGGGGTTTTACCCAAAAGAATAGGAATGGGCCAGGTATTTTTGGCAACATGTTTTCATGTTTTACATACATCGGTTATATGAGTTATTAAAAAAAATAAAACTTAATAATTCTAATATCTTTTTCAGTAATGATAGTTAATTTTTATTAGACATAAATATTTTAATTTATCAGAATCTGTATGCGGAGATAGAACTTTTAATTTATTCAGGTATATTGTTGGTAAATATGTATATTACATTGAAAAATTGATATACCGACACTTCTAAGACTTTAGTGTATCTACTTTAAAGAATGACGCTTTAAGAGACACCGCGAGATGAATTAATTCAGCCAAATACGGCAAGTGCGCGATTTTTCCCGTTGTACTCATTTGTCACTGGTGCAGGTGTGTATCATCACACCGGTAAAAGCGCCTACACTTAATATTTAAAAGTTGGATGTGGTATATCCTTGAATATCCGTTCTGATTTTCCCACAAATATGATTGTTAGCCTTAAACAGTATCTACTTAATAAAAAATATATTATAAAAAAACCGACTGAATAAAGGGTAACTAAAAAGATGACATCTATATTGAATATACACTACAAATCCATCATCTGATTGCTGATATTTCAATAATCAAGAAAATTACACAAAATTGATTTATGGGTGTATTATTTCTTTTTCCTTTATTAACAATATTTTTTTAAAACAATAATATACCTTTTTGGGATCTATTTTTTATCTTTTATTATTTTAACACAACTTTAATAACAAATCGATATTTTTTTGACAATAAAGATTCACATTTTTTTGAACGAATTTTTCTTTATTCGTGATGAGACTGCATGGTCTAAAATATTTTCACGAAATTAAATAGGTATTTTGCCCAACTTCTAATTTCAATTACATAAAAATATCACTTATTTTTTCTTGTCCAAAAATATATTTGTTTTCTTGGATCCTAATGATAATACTTACGATGTCGTGGGCTCGATGTTAGTAGATCATAACTTTATACGTACAGGAATACCTACATTCTGTCCTTTGAGTCGCACTCTCAGCGTAATTTTCCTGTGAAAGGATTACTAATGAACCATTTAGTATAATTTATTTTCTTCATGTCATTCGAATACAGATTAAAGTAGTCATTATTTACTTTGTTAATAATATAAAGACGTTATATAATAATTTATGTTTCAATTTTATGAAATAAAAATAATCTTTTACAATGATAAACAAAGAATTCGGAGACTTATTAAACACTCATCAGAAGTTGTTCTATTCAGTCGACAAATAGAGATTAAGCGGACTCAGGCCGACATTGGCTCGGTCACGCGCACATTATTTGAAGTGTTCAAGTGCTTATCACGCCCGTGCCCTCACCCCATCTATGGAGAACTCACCCCGTATTTGTCCTACATATGTTATTTTTTCCAAAATGAACAATCGTAGGAATAATGAGTTACAGATTTAAAGTTTTTAAGTGTTATTTTAAAAACATACGTTTTTTAATTAAATAACATTTGAAATGTAACCGTGAGAATTTCCCATGAAAAAGCGTAGGTAGGTATAATAGTCAATTATTATTTGTTTCATAGTAATTACGGCAACATATTGTTATTTTTTTAATTTAATTTACAATCAAAGTTTATGAAGATCTTACACCTACCTATTACTTATTCAGTTATCTAATTAGTCTACATTCTTTATTTCGAGACAAAATTGTTTTAATCATAAGATATTAG